AATCAGATAATTTATCAATCTTTATGTTTTTTTTTAAGTTTTTTATTTTTTTTTTCTGTTGTCTCTATGATCTTGGAGATGTTAGTAGACAACTTTGTCAGTTACCCTCGGGGTAAAAGGCTATTATTTTCTTAAAGCTTAGCGATAGTAGAGAGAATAAAATTGTGGGGAAGGAGTACAAAAAAAGACAGAAAGAAAGGAAAAAACTAAAAAGACATAAATATTAGTTAATTGTCTGATTGGTCACTGAACTTCGCATAAGATTTTTAGGGGTTGCTGAACTTCAAAAACTTCCCGCTTGTTACTGAACTTTATAAATTAAAATCTCATCACTTACTGAGTGATGTATGAGATTATATTTTCTAAAATGTAGTGACTAACTTGAAAACTTTTGAAATTCTCAATGATGATGTGATTCTATTTTGTAAAGTTCAGTGATTACCTAGAAAAAAATTGAAATTCAGTGGCCTTCTGGAAATCTTTCACAAAATTCAATGACCAATAAGATAATATCCCTATATTTATACTATTTTGAAAGGTAAAGAACTTCCATCGCAAAATTTTTAATGGTAAAAAATGATCAATTGCGCAACACAAGCTACTTTAGGGATCCTCATGTGAGTTTCTTAGGGTTACGGATTAATTAGTAAGAGTAGCAATAGATTGGACACTATGGATGTGTTTGATTACAAGCATGATACTTGCAAGAAAAAGCAAATAAGTTTTTGGCAACATAAAAATTGTCAATAAATGTGTTTGATTAACTTAATTTTCAACTTATAAAATATTATATATTTTTATAAATTTGAATTTTTTGAATGTGTAAATTGCCTAGGAAATAAAAATCTATAAAAAAAATATTTCCTTATTTTTTAGAAAAATATGGTCACGTGACCAACTTTTAGAAAATATTTTTCATAGAATAAAATCAACTAAACATCCAAAAAGTTGGAACTTGAATGGAAAAATGACACTTTCTATTAAAAATAAAGTTAATTAAACACACCCTATATAGTTCTTCCAAAATATTTTGATGGTTTATATCTGTTCAGATTGGCTTGCACTATAATTAATAGTTTTAGGGATTTGAATGTAAAACTAATTGCACGGGACAAAGTGCTCCAAGTGATATATTTCGGGGACCGAAGATGACAATTTTGCTTTTCTGTGATTTTATCACATTTATTTTGTAAAAAACAAATAATCAGATTCCAAATCCATGTTAACACAAATCTTATGATATATAAGTAATAACTTAATCATACACAAAATCGAAATCCACTATGGAGAAAATGACGAGTGTTTTGTAGGCGAAACCAAACCTGCAGCTACTAAGAGATTGGCAACGTAAACTCCGCCAAAAGTGCCGCAACATCGAACACCAAATCAGAGGTGGTAGTTTTATTTATTTATTCCACGTAATTATTATTTGCCTTATTTGAGTGGATTCAAGGGAAAAATGTTGATAGAGTTGTAATATAAACTTTCTATTGTGGTTTGGCCCAAATTATAGTGGATATTGGAGTTTAAATTCGAGTGGTCTTGAAAAGATCAAAATTATGGATCGACGGAAAAAGTTGCCGCATTTTCGCTAGCCTGTGCTAGCTGGATGCTCGAGCGAGCCCGGTAGAAAACAACCCGAGACTTTGTTGCTCGCATTTCGCCTTCTTGTTGCTCGAACAACGGGCTTATCCGGCTCAAGCCCTTTTTCCTTTTTGACGCGATTTTGGATTATTATTTTTCTACAACTTATTCTCTAGGGTTTATATATATATGGCGTGACTTGTATAGAAAATTAACAGAGATTCATACAACATGTTGAGAGTTTTAGATTTCAATTGAGCGTATTGAGATATTATAAACACAATTGCTATTAATTATAGTAGATTTCTCCTCCTCTATCCGTGGTTTTTTTCCGTATTGGATTTCCACGTAAATCCTGGTATTTATTTTCTTCTTATTTATTTCATTATCATCATTATCTTGCGACCCAAATTTCATAACAAGTGGTATCAGAGAAATTCAGATATCGTGTTTATTTCTTAACAAGTGGTATCAAGGCTCCGCTCCAACATTGCCCATTTTGATCCGATAAATTTGTATTCCACTCTATATGAGTCGCAGATACAACAAAACATGTTGATGATGAAGAGGAGTTAGAAGAAATAAGAGCACGTCTAGCCCGAGTTCGATCGTAAGCCGTGGCATTAAAATTGTGAAAGATAAGTTAATTGGCACATCAAATTGTTGTGTTACACACTACGTCTTAATCTATCTCTATTTGAACCACAGAATGTGAATTTATCCTGTATTTAGTGAAGCAGCCAACTCTATAATGTGTAATAAAAAACCTTCCTATAATATAATGCAATATCAAGTTTTTCTTATTTTTGCCATATACGGTAACAATTATTTATGTGCTTCAATAATCTTGATAATTCTTTTATTTAATGAAAGAAAAATAGATTATCCTAATTATCTCACTTGCAAAAGGAAAAAAAAAATCTTAAAATTATATCAATGCGTGTGACTTCTAAAAAATGAAAGGTTAAGGACTCGGATCCCGATAGGACCAAAAAGATGAATAATACTACTCATTTTGTCTCATTTATATATGTTGATAATCCTTATTTTTTTGTCTGAATTATATAGTCATATTTCTTTATTGAAAATATTTTGTTTTGTTCATTTACTAATAGACCATTATTTAATTTGTTTAGTTATAACCAATTTTTCATAATTTATTACTAATTGTTGATAATTAAATATGGGTAAACTAGAAAAGGTTTTGACAAAAATTGTTTTTTCAATAACATTAAATAAGATTTATTAATATGCATGAAAAACAAAATCAACCTATATAAATGGGACGGATGGAGTATAGACTATTGTAATGCTATTACTTAGGGAAATGTCATTGTACACTCTTTTTTTGACATGATGGTTTACATTGTGTGTGTTGGCAAATGTAAATTGGATAAAAAAAATTGTCAAAAAATTAAAATGTCCAATTGTGTGTAGTTATGTGGCACAATGTAAAGAAAGAAATATGTAGAGGATAATGTATATATACTCATTTAATTGGATTTATAGTAATTGTGATGCTATTACTTAGGGAAATGTCATTTGTACACTCTTTCTTGACATGATGGTTGACAATGTGTGTTGGCAAGTGTTGATTTGATAAAAAATTGTCAAAAAATTAAATTGTTCAATTTTGTGTTATTATGTAGCACAATGTAAAAAAAGATGTAGAGGATAATGTACATGTACTCCTTTAATTGGATTTATCATGCGATCTCTATATGACATTACTCAAAAAAAGATTGAGAATCTGCCAACTTCACCTGTTTGGGCTCTATTAAGATTTTAATACATTTTTATCTTTTTTCGTTTCAATCACACATTTTTTAATAAAATAATATTATACAAAACCTAAAATTTTTCTTTTTTTTTTTAACTACACATTCTTTAAAAAATATTATTCAAAAAATATTTTTCCATAAAAGTTAATTTTAATAGAGCCCAAACAGGGGCTAAATTGTGAACTCTTTAATTTTTCAAATATAATATAACAAGAAGGAATTTTTTTTTTTTTTTTCATTACTCAAAATATTCTCATTTATTGATATGTGCATGTTAAGAAAGCCTCAAGGCAAAAGCATGTAAACAAGATAATTATTATTAATTAATTAAAATTATGATCAAATTTTAAATTCATTGTATACTCGTATCTCTTTGTGACAATTTAATTGTCAAGTTGATTATCCATTTTTCATGGTTGCCAAATTTAAAATATTAATCATAATATTATAAACACACACACACAATAGAATATATAAACTTATAAATACCAATATTTAAAAGCCAAATCCATTTCGCATGGTTCCTTTTGTCCATTTTGTTTGGCCCTTTATATGGCCAAAACGTAATAACCATAAATTCTTTACTTCTATTTTTTTTCATTTGATCTCTCCTAGTTATTGGTTCCACATGATTTTCTCTCTTTCAGGTTAAAGGAACGAGAGTTGGCTTTCTTAAGTCCGTTGTTCGTAAAAAGTTTAGTGGTAGATCTTGAAAAACTAACATGACAGATTAAGCTGGTTCGTTCGAGAAGGATACTCTCCAGTTTATGTTGATGAAACTGTTGATAACATCATTTTTCGTAAAAAATTCACTCATCAAAGTCATACAATAATCGTGCCGAATGGATCCTTAGTGCAGAAATACCGAAGAGATAGACGCAAACAAACTTCTCCAGAGTGTTGTTTGGCTTTGATTATATAAAATTAAACTGTTTTGTATTATTCAAATTTCAAACTCTATTATGAATATGAAAAGTGGATCTTGGTTCACAATTACATACTTTTATAGATTCTCCACATATGTCAATTTCAATCAGTTTTCTAAATGACCCTGATTAGGAGAGAGATGACATAATTTGTTGTGGTTGTTAAGGACACAGATTGACATAATTGATTATTTATCGTATTACACAAGATAAGAATGCAATTAATAGCCATTGGCAATCATTCCATCTTTTTACAAAATTCAAATATTCACACCACTCATTCAAGCCATCGATTCCACCCACTCATTTGACCTTTGAGAATCTTGATCGTTCATGCGTTTATCAATGTTTAGCCATGATTTCCTCCCATAATAATCTCAGAAATTTTGTTTGTCTTTTTAAAAATTTAAAATATCTACATTTGTAGAATAATCTTTATTGCTTTATCTTCTCCATATTCAAGAATTCAACAAGTATATATCCAACAAATGTCATTCATGTTCTCACTTCAATTCCTATATTTATTCCTCAAATCTTTCTTAAGGTCTGTAAGCATCAGAAATATATAGAAAATCCAAGATTACAAAGAAAAAAAACCAGTTCCATCTTCAGAATCATTCCTACAGCAATGGAACTAGCAGTCTTTCATTTCTTTTTTCCTCTACTTTTCTTTCTCCCTTTCCTCTCCATAGTTTCAGTTTCAGAAGCTATGGAATTCCCAAAAACACAAGCAGAAAAGATCATTAGAGAGATGAACTTGTTCCCTGAACTTGATGTGAACATTGTTGAAGATGATCCTGCTTTGACAGCACCAAAAATGGTCGAAAAAAGTTTTAGATTCCCCGGTTTAAGTAATCCCGCACCCAGTGTTCAAGATTTGGGTCACAGGGCTGGATATTATAGACTTCCTCACACCAAAGGTGCAAGGTATAATAAACATCAAATTTTCCATATTACAAAATTGATTGATGTATCTGTTCTTCAGGTTGTGGGGCCTTTTTCTTGCAGTTTACCTAATTAGAACCACTGTATGTTTAATACAAGAATTTTTGACAGATTGCCGCAATAAAATATATTGCGATTTCAGACTAATAGGTTTCATTATACGTCACTTCAAGCTTGACAAGCATCAACAAATGAAACTTATTAGTTCAAAAGCGCTGTGAAAAGCCACAAAAACTGAATTAAAAACTAGCAATGCAATATCATTTCCCTGGTTATATCATGTCAAACTGCTTGAAATATTGTTGCAGGATGTTCTACTTTTTCTTTGAATCAAGAAACACGATGAGCACTGACCCGGTTGTTGTTTGGTTAACGGGAGGACCAGGATGCAGCGGATCGTTGGCCCTGTTTTACGAAAACGGCCCTTTCCACATAACAGACGACTTATCTCTTGTATGGAATGATTTTGGTTGGGATAAGGTAATCTCATTTTCATCAATTCTCATTAATAGATTTTCCTCTCAGACTCCCAACAGATAATTCCTGAAGATGAGTCAATGTCTTGCCTCGACTCAATGGGACAGGGTTTTATTGGACAAAAAATTTCTCGTGTTACCCATAACCGATAAGGAGAAACCAAAGCTCTTCTCATGAATGACGTGATATGACAGGTCTCAAACATTATATATGTCGACCAACCGACTGGAACAGGTTTCAGTTATACTTCAGACGAGAATGACATACGAGCGACTTCTGAGGGAGCTGCTGGGGATTTCTATGACTTCCTGCAGGTACGTTCGCTAGTCCTGTCAGCTCAAGGACACAACTAGACAATCCATTACACAATATATTAGTTTATTTTTTATCTTACACGATACTGTACAGTCCACCACAATCATAAACTAGATTAGACTGAACTAAAATGTTCATAAAATGTCAGGCATTTTTCCAAGCCCACCCTCAGTATGCAAAGAATGACTTTTACATCACTGGAGAATCATACGCCGGGCACTACATTCCTGCTTTTGCTGCTCGGATACAACAGGGAAACAATAATAAAGAAGGGATTCATATTAACATGAAAGTAAGCCTTGAATTTTATCTCCATTGTTAATTAATCTCATAGTTTTCTCTGTTTGATTAATCACCTTACCAATGCTTAAACAGGGATTAGCTATTGGTAATGGAATGACAGATCCACAGATCCAGTACAAAGCATATACTGATTATGCTTTAAACATGAAATTGATCACCCAATCTGATTATGACAGCATGAATGAGTCAGTTTCTGAATGTGTAGAGGCAATAAAAATCTGTGGTAATTCTTATCCCTAAACTCATATCTTCTAACATCTACTTCTGAATCCAAGTCCCTCGTGCAAGGTCTGCCTAACTTAGAAGCACATTGGACACCCTTCCGGTGGCACCCCTTCTTGTGGTACCCACGTTATTGACAAGACAACCTCAGGAAGGCAACTTATAATGTGCTCAGAAACCCACAAGTCTTACCCTCTGCCCCCAACTCTCATTCTCACTTGGATTCTGATAAAAAGTTTCTTGGCAGGAAGGAGTAATGGTTCATCATCAGCGTGTTCCCAGGCTTATGTTGAGTGCAACGACATTTTCAATAATATACTTAACATAGCTGGTGATATAAATGTAAGATAACACGTCACTCAATCATCTAGTTTGACTGAAAATAAAAAGTTTTTAACCTTATATTTTTATCTGTAGTACTATGATATTAGAAAAACTTGTGTGGGTTCTCTGTGCTACGACTTCTCGAACATGGAAAATTTTTTGAACCAGAACTCAGTTAGACAAGCACTTGGCGTTGGAAATATAAAATTTGTTTCATGTAGTACTGTTGTGTCTGATGCAATGACAATGGACTGGATGAAAAATTTCGAAGTCGGTGTTCCTGCTCTACTAGAGAATGGAGTCAAGTTACTTATATATGCTGGGGAGTATGATCTTATTTGCAACTGGCTTGGTAAGATTTACTTGAGATAGACTATGAAAAAAAAACGTAGGCAGGGTTTGTAATGTAACTGCTATAACTGAGTTTTAATATTATCAGGAAACTCAAGATGGGTCGATGCCATGGTATGGTCTGGACAGAAAGACTTTGTATCGACTCCTTCCTTTCCATTTAGCGTGGATGGAGTGGAGGCAGGATTACAGAAAAGCCACGGACAACTCACTTTCCTTAAGGTCCATAATGCCGGTCACATGGTTCCTATGGATCAACCTAAAGCATCACTAGAAATGCTAAAGAGGTGGATGCAAGGTATATCTCTGTGAAGAACAGCAGCGGAACCCCCTAAAGCATCACTAGAAATGCTAAAGAGGTGATTGCAAGGTATATCTCTGTGAAGAACAGCAGCCGAACCCCGAAATTTGTAATGATTTAACACTCTTCTGATTTACATGTATCGATTTTTTAATCTGGATTGTCTAAATTAAAGTTTCATCTATTCATGTTTAGGCAAAGGGATTGGTCTAGAACGATCGCTTGTTCTAATTATCGAATCGTGACAGTGATCACTAATGGGTTAATCCTCTGTATAACCGGAATTCATGACCTCTTATATAAGCCGCTTATCATTGAAAAAGTTTTGATTAATCACATGATGAACTATTCTATTATTTATTCTTAACCTTAAAGCTTATAATATATCGCTTAATCTCTAGTGTTTCGATATGAAATGTACAAAATCCAAGATAAACAACAGAAGCATACTACAGAAAGGAAAGTAGACTAAAAGTTCACTTAGGATTGAGCACATTAACATTTTCCCAGGTGAAATCTGGATCATCTCGTCCAAAATGACCGTAGGCAGCAGTCTTCTGATACCTGAAGTTGCCGCCCCTCTTCAGGTCCAGATTGATAGCAATCATTCCCGGCCTGAAGTCGAACTTCTCCTTAATAAGCTCCTGTATATTCTTATCCGGCAATTTCCCTGTTCCATATGTGTCCACAAATACAGACAACGGTGCTGGCATCCCTATTGCATATGACAACTGCACGGTACAACGTCGTGCAAGCCCAGAGGCCACCACGCTCTTTGCTGCTTGCCTGGCAATATAGGCACCACTTCGATGAACCATGGTTGGATCCTTTCCAGAAAATGCACCACCTCCATGCGCACCCCAGCCACCATAAGTGTCAACAATAATCTTCCTGCCAGTCAATCTCGCATCCTCATGAGGGCCTCCATGTACAAATCAACTCAACGGGTTGAAATGCAATATAGTCTTGTCATCGAGATATTTTGACTGAATGACAGGCTTGATTACATGCTCTTTTAAGTCTTTCGTTATCTGCTCATTTGTGACAGTCTCGTCGTGTTGAGTCGAGATGAGAACAGTATGGACCCTAATAGGCACCATTGCTCCACCTTCTTTCTGGTATTCGACAGTGACTTGAGTCTTGCCATCAGGCCTTAGCCAGAGACAAGTTCTGTTCTTTCTCACCTCGGTCAATTTGGCCGCGAGCTTACTAGCAAGGACATGCGTCAACGGCATCAGCTCAGGGGTTTCGTCCGTGGCATAGCCGAACATGTGCCCCTGATCTCCAGCTCCAACCTCTTCAGGTTTTTTCATTAGGTGACCGTGGACAACCTCTGCAATCTCAGGGCTCTGCTGTTCGACATTTATCAGAACCTTGCAATTATAAGCATCAAGTCCAACTTCAGGCGACGAATATCCAATTTCACTGCACGTGTCGCGAACAATTTTCTCATAATCCACATTAGCCTTGGTTGTGATTTATTGTGATTTCGCCTATGACTGTAACCATGTTGGATTTTGTACATGTCTCACAATCGACTTTACTTTCGGGATCTTGTTCCAAGCACGCATCTAAAATCGCATCAGATATTTGATCACAAAGCTTATCAGGGTGACCTTCAGTAACAGATTCCGAGGTGAAGAGGAAAGTATCCATAGCTGAATTTTTTTTCACAGACATAAAATCAAACAGATCTCAATCAACTCCAGTATGCTACACTAATGGCCTAATAAAGTGAATTGAACAGCTTTAAAATAAAATAAAATCATGTGACATAGCATGGACTAAAAGACTGCCTATCTATAAGAGGAGATCCTATGAAAAATGTAACTGATTCTTCCGTTTCTTTGGGCCACTGGCCATCTTTCGGGAGTTTCGGATTTAATACCAATTTCTTAGCAACAAATCCAATAAATCTAAGTGTAGTGATTGGCGTATTGATCTTTTTTTTCTGGAAATGGGGGTGTGTGTGGTTGTTTATATTAAATTAGACAAAAGTTGATGAGATCTAATGCACCAAATATACCATATCAATTTCGTTTGTATAATGTTTTATACATCTATCAGGTACTTCAATTTACATCAGCAATAGGATTCTGAAATTATTTTCTTCAACATCGATTTAAAAACAGTAACTCTTTTCTTGAATTTCTCAATCTCTACATGATTACTTTCTCAACCAAAAACTTATAACGAATATAAGAAATTATGCACTTGAAACATAAACAAACTATTACAAAAAGGAATTTAGTTCAACTTTCTACCTTAATATTGTACACCACACCGCACCACTGTTTTCCAAATATGCAAATAAACAATAACAGGATCTAAAGAAGGGATGAATGCAAAAAAAATATCGTATTTATTGGAAAAATAAAACGATAGAGACAAACAGTGCAAGGTACGTACCTGAGGACAGTACATCATGATGATACATTAGTTTTGGAGTCTGCCTGCCCGCGGTGCCAGTGCTTACTCGACGAGTGAGGATTTTGGAATAGCTACACTGTGACATCTGAAAACTCATGCGTCCATTCTGCATCAATTTCATAACCTTTTTTTGTTTTTTTTATCATTTTTAATTTTACAAATATGAATAAGGGATAATTACATTCATGGTCTTGTATCTTTTACCTTTTCGTAGGCTTTACCCAAACTTTTTGTTTATATCATCCACAATCTCAAACTTTTTATTCTCCTACAATGAAAAGGGACCGTCTATATGCCCATTAGTGGAGCATAAAAATTGAATTCGGCCTTATTTTAAGGCATGACACTAATTTTAAATTTCCCAATAAAATAATTAAATAACTAAATTAAAAAAAATACAAAAAATGGGAAAGGAAATTTAAAAAAATGTTATCTTCAATTCTTCTTCCTCCAACCTCGTTTCACCCCACCGCTAGCCAACCACCACCCACTGCCTTAAATGGTTTCTGTTTTTCATGCTCAGAAAATTTCACAGAGTTGAAAATCAGTGAAAAATGGGGAAATGAAATAGTGAAATGAAGTAACGCAGAGTTGGTTTTCTTTGGGCTCCATTTTAATTTTTAGTAATTTTTTGAAGAATGTATGGTTAAAAAATAAAATAAAATAAACGACTTATAAAAGAATGTGGAGTTATAAATGAATTTTGAAAAAATATGCGCCAAACATAGGCTTCATTAAATAAGTTTCATTTTTCATGGATAATTGAAAAAGGGAACAATACATAACTATTACGCTATAAGAATCATAGTTCACAACTAACAAACTCCATAAAAACTTTTATAAATCAAGTGATAAATCAAATTATTAAATATATAATTACAATATAATTTACATTAATTCTTTCTCTATATCAATTGACCTACTGACATTATATCCCCATTCTACCCCACTGTAGAAATCTCCAAAAATTCAAATATTTCTACACCCCCCCCATCTCCACCTCACTGTGGAAAACTCCAAAAAGTAAAAATGTCTTCTTTCTATGGAGCTTTCTCTCTATATATACATTTACCGACACAATAACTTTGCAGGTGGTGGAGGTGATAAGGTGAGACTATGTTTAGAAAATAGATCTAAGTGGTGATGGTGATGGTGCATCGTAGGTGATGAAAGTGCATTTAAGTTGATTTGTTTGGTGGTGGTGGTGAGGGGGGTGTTGGAGGTGGTAAGGTGGTAGCAATGTTTTGGGTGCTGTGTGGTGGCAATAGTATTGCATTGTAGGTGACCAAATTTGTGACTATGTTATTTGTCATCGAATTTATTGTTTGTAATCATACCTGTGTTATTTGTGATTAATTAGGATCAAATTTATCTTCAGTGTGATCTCTGTGATCAAATCAGTAAATTTATAAATGCATGTAACCAAATCACTGACATGTATTATCTCTGACAAACTGTGGCCAACTTTATTTTCAGTGTGACTATCTGTGACCATATTAATCTTAATTGTGACGGTATGTGATCAAGTCACAGGATCACAATTAACATGAAATTGGTCACAAGCAATCACAATAAATACATACTTAGTCATAGATGATTATCACAAGCATATCTGCACACAGCAGACCAGCACTATAATCCACCACCAGTTCTTTATGAAAGCTTAGACACATTACTACTAAGCACGTCAGCATCCATCACAGCAGCTTTCTTCACATTTGAGAACTCTAAGCTAAGACTTGACACAATTTTAAGGCCGAGTGTTTGTAGATGACTTGTCATTGTTGTTCCGACTAGAAAAATGAGCACCTTCACTTCTTATTATTTCCAGAACAACAAAAGTTTGGTTTTCCCATCGACCCCTTTGACCTCAACAAGCTTGAGGATTGTATCTAACTTAAGGCATGTGCAACACCTCAATTTGTTCTAATATTCATGCCATTTTCAGTCTTCAAAATTGCTTCTAGAATGACTAGCAAATCGACCGTTCACTCCATTCATTAGGGAATAATCACCAACAACACCGATTACCATACATCTACTATAAAGGGCCGTAGTTTGGCTCCTCCTAAACACGCATTGCATCAGCAACAACAACAAAAGCTCAGTATAATCCCTTTTTCATCAAAATTTAGAATAAGGATCTGGATTTGTGACCCGCAAACGCCCACAAGATTTTGAAGCTGCCACGTATATTCCCTTCAAAACCTTAACATAAGTCCCATCCTTTACACCACCGTACACCAAATCGTCCACCTCCGATGACGGTAGAGGTGACCCATCTGTGCCACCGGCGATGGAATAAGGTGATTTTTTGGAGAGAACCTGAAAGGAGAAAGTGAATGAAAGGAAAAATTGATTGGAATAAATATGGGCTTCATGGGTGGGCGTGAGTGGATGCTTGGGAAGAGGTTGGGGAAAGGGTGATTTTTAAAAGAAAACGTGAAAAGAAGAAAATGGAATGGAGTGGAGTGGAAATTGATCAAAAAATCAGTTTTTTTGGGGGAATAGGTGGGGGGGATGGTGGCGTGGATGGGGTGGGTTATGAAGAAACTTGATTTTTGGAAACAAATTCTTAATACCTGATTTATGAAATATAAAGTTTAAAAGATATTAGAATTAAAAGGAAATGTGAAACTGAAACTGAAACTTTTCTTATTACCAAAATTGTTTCACATGAGTGTACATATATACAGCATAAATAGGCGCCAAACCAATTGCCATAACAAATTATCTAGCTGGCAAAACTAGCTACCTAACTTGTGAACTAACTTCCAACTATACAAAATTTAGACATTGATACTAAAGTCTACACATGTTCTAATACTCCCCCTCAAGATGTGTCGTAAATGTCTTTTACACACATCTTGGATAACAAAGGCTTTAGTATGAAGACTGGTAGAGGTTTGGTGAAAGCATCTGCAAGTTGATGCTTTGATTGAATAGGAAGAAGCTCACTATTCCCACAGTGATTTTATCATGGATAAAATGCAATCGATTTTCATGTATTTTGTTCGTTCGTGAAAAAGTTATTGGTGGCTATCTGAATTGCAGCATGGTTGTCACAATAGAGGATAGCTAGTGATGTATTAGGAACGTGAAAATCCTTAGTAACTAGTGAATCCAAATGATCTCACTCACAGTATATGCAATGGCTCTATATCCTACTTCAGCTGAAGAATGAGAGATAGTTTGTCATCTCTTTGATTTCCATGATACCATTGAATTACCAACAAAGATGCAAAAACTAGTAGTCGACTTTCGTTGTCAATACACAACCCCCAATCTGCATTAGAAAGGGTCGTACATTGATGGGTGTACTAGGGAGCATTTGTGAGGAGAACAAAATGCTATGTCCAGGATTGGCCTTTAAATACCTGAAAAGATTATGAATTGCTTTGAGGTGTGTCATTCTCGGTTGAGCAACGTATTGGCTCAGTTTATGTACCACAAAAGTAATGACAGGTCGTGATACGGTCAAATATATGAGTCTTCCAATCAATCTTCTATAATGAGAAGGGTCTGGTAATAAATCTTCTTCATGAATGCTAAGAGCTGATTTTGCCTCCACAGGACTGTTCACTGGTTTGCAATCTAGATAACCCACATCCTCTAGTAATTGTAATGTATATTACCTTTATGAGATAACAATTCCTGATGAGGAACGTGTAATTTCAATCCCCAGGAAGTACTTCAAATATCCCAAATCCTTGAACTTGAATTGGGATTGCAAGAAAGTTTTTAAGGAATCAATAGCATGAACATTAGGTCTAATTATAACAATGTCATCTACGTATACTATCAAAGCTACAAATTTGTCTCCAAACCCCTTTGTGAAGAGTGAATAATCTACCTTAGATTGATTGAAGCCAAAATAAATGAAGGCATGAGTAAATTTTTCATTCTATTGTCTAGAAACTTGTTTAAGTCCATGGATGGACTTGTGTATTTTGCATACCATTTTCTCTCCCTGTTTGAAGGACTTAAGGAACCCATAGCTAAGAGGAAGATCCATTTAAACCTCCTCAAACAAGTCGTTATTCAAGAATGCATTGTTTATATCTAACTGGAATAAGTGTCAATTATGATAAACTGCGAGAGTGAGTGAAAACTTGATAGTCACATTCTTTACTACTTGGGAGAAGGTGTCAAAATAATCCAAACGTTTATGTTGTGTGTAACCTTTTGCAACAAGGCGTGCCTTATGACTTTCAAGTGATCGATCTGGGTTGTATTTATTTTTATAGCTATAGAATGTTTCCCATGAGGTAAAGTACAATGGACCAGGTGTGATTGAGTTCCATAGCTTCCAATTCAAGTTTCATTGCAACACGCCATTGGGGAAATTTGACGGCTTGACGAAAGAATTGAGGCTCAAAATGAGCTTAGATATTCAGTACTAAATACTTGTGAGGTGAATATAGATTTTTGTAAGAGACAAAATGACTAATGTGATTTGGTGAATGAACAATAGGATTATCAGATTGAGATATCAAATTGCGATGATAGTCAAGAAGATACTTAGGAGGTCTAGAAGCTCTTTGAGTGTTTCGAACATTGTGAACATGAGGTCTAGAAAAGTGGGAATTATCAAGTGAATTAGAAGTGATTAGAGGTGAAGAGTGAGGTGCCTCAGATGAAGAAATGTGGTGATCATCAGCTGGTGACGAAGGATTAAGAGATAATGAAGAAATGATGTGATCAATAGCAAGTGAAGGATGATTATGATGTATTTGTTCTAAATGGACAGTAATGTCATGGGGAGGGAACAAAGAAGAAGATGGCAACACTAGATCAGAAAAGGGGTCCAGCATCTGATCAGCCTCAACAATAGTATGAAATCAGAATATTTCCTAATGAAAGACAACATCCCTGGATATAAAAATCTGTTTTGATGCAATGTCAAGCAACTTGTAGCCTTTCACTCCTGATGGATAGCCTAAGAACACATATAACTTGGCTCTTGGCTGAAACTTATCTCTGTGTGTAGTGAGTGTAGATGCAAAAACCAAACATCCAAATACACGTAGAATGGAATAATCAGCAGGGCTGCCATGTAGACTTTATAAGGTGTTTTATGTTGTAAGAGAGGAGATGGGATTCTATTGATGAGGTAAGCTACAGTCAATACACATTCAGACCAGTAATTTACAAAGGTTCTAGACTGAAAAAATAGAGCTCGTGCAACGTTCAAAATATGTTGATGTTTACGTTCTACAACAGAGTTTTATTGTCGTCTTTCAACACAACTAAATTGATGTAACACCCATTTCTCAGCAAAAAAAAACTCTTTGAAGGATAAATCATGAGCATTATCTGATTTGAATTTCTTGATTGTGACATTAAATTGTGCAGTAACCATGTTGAAAAATCGATGCACTGCACTCAGGCATCAGATTTTTGTCATAGCATATAGATACGGGTGATTCTGGAACAATCATTAATCAAAGTTAAGAAGTATTTATGTCCTGAATAAGAAAGAACATGATATGGCCCCCATATGTCACAACGCAAGAGATCAAATGGCTTACTGGATAGTTTGTTACTTGAGTCAAATGATAATCTCATTTGTTTAGCAATGGGACAAATATAACGAGGAAAATGTTTATTTAGTTTTGAAATATCACACCCCACTTGGTCTTTTAACACATATCTTTTGAAAGATAGATGACCAAGTCTATTATGTCATACATGAGCAGAAACACTGCCAACAAAAACATTTGAAAATGAATTAAGGTCTCTGACGTTAAGTACATGTAACTCTTGAACTTTTTCACCCTTGCCAATCATCCTTTTGGTTGTAACTTCCTGAATGATGAAATGATCGTGAAAGAAGCTTAAGGTAAGCTGTGATCCAATAGTTAATGCACTTACTGACAATAAATTGAATTTGAACTGTGGTACAAATAATACATCATGTAACACCAGAGAGGACTCGGTCTGATATCACCACAGAAACTGACTGATATTCGTGTGTCGTTTGGCAAAGTTATTCTTGCATTATCAACCGTTCTCAATTTCATAAAAGCATCACAATGGAGCATACATGTCTAGTGGCTCATGAGTCTACTATCTACAATTCTTTAGTAGTAAAAACAGGATTAACTGATATCGAATTACATGTACTTGAAGCACCTGAAGTGTTATGTTTGTCCTGAGTAGTTGAATCAACCTTCAAGCTTAAAGCTAAGTGGTTGGACAACATATTCATCAACTGCAGATATTGAATGGTATTCAGATTTTACATAAAACTCTCCATGCCTGGTTGCTGATCAATCTAATGAAGAGCTAACAACTGATTAACGGGATTAGAAACATATTGATTTTGGAAATTATATTTTAATTTTGGTTTGTATCCTGGTGGATATCCATGAATTTTATAATACTTGTCTACTGAATGACCATGGAACTTGCTATGAGTACAATAAGGCCTCTTCTTCCTTTTGACATTTCCAAGTTGACCAAACTTAGAGCCGTCATTATGAAAAGCAGGATTGTGTGTTGATTTTGCATTATCAGATCTCAATGCAAATGCAGTCGTACAATTAGCATCATTTCCAAATGATTGTGCACTCAGCTTCCTCTTATTTTTCCCATGTGAGATTAGAGCAAAAACTTTATTAATAGGCAGCATAGGATTCATAAGAAGAATATGACCTATGGCCTGAGAAAATGAATCATTTAGTCCCATGATGAATAACATGATATATTCCATTTGATAGTATTTGTTCATTTCCTTAACACCACCACATTGAAATTTTGTAGCCCGATCTTAGATCCAATCCTGGATCCGCCCCTGACCACAGGTACACTTTCCATAGCTGCAGCTAGGGCCAAAATTACGTAAATATTCCCATATAGTCTTCAATTTCATAAAATACACATTTATGTTGTTCTGATCTTCAGTCAAATTCATCAGATCCCTTCTCGGTTGAAAGATTTGTGGCCCATTACTTTGTTGAAATCGTTCTATGATATCATTCCATATCTCCTATGTTGTAGAGGCATAGATGATGCTTGCTGAAATCTCTTTTGAAACTGAATTAAGTATCCATGATATAACCATATTATTTTTACGAATCCATGAGTTGATCAAGTCAGGACTCACATCTTTTGGTTTCTTCATAGATCCACCAATGAAAGAAAGTTTTTTCTTCATCAAAAGTGCAATTGTCATTGCACAGCTTCAAGAGGCATAGTTATCTCCTGTGAGTGGCTGAGATACAAGCACTAGTCTAGGACTATCGGAATGATATAGGAAATAGGGACTAGATGGCTCACCAATGGCAGACTTGCTTATGGATGATCGCATATCATAATCAATTTCAAGCTGTGTTGAATCCATTGATGTATATGAACTCAGAAAGAAACAATAAGCAGAGGAAGAAGACGTAAACTGGAAGTAATTTGCTCTGATACCATATTAGAACTAAAAGCAAATGAAAACTAAAACTTTTCTAATTACCAAAATCGTTCCACGTGAGTATACATATATACAGCATAAATAGGCGCCAAACCAACTGCCATAACAAATTATCCAGCTTGCAAAACTAACTACCTAACTTGTAAACTAACTTCCAACTATACAAAGTTTACACATTGATACTAAAGTCTACACATGTTCTAATAAAAGAAGGTTTTAAGGTAATTTTCCAATTGAAAAATCGTAAAGCCCAACTTCTTTATTTTTTTTAATCTTTGTAATAGTCTAGAAATTTATTTTTTTATGCAAATGATTTTAAGAGTAATCGCTATTTTTTTTGTTCCAAACATTGATTGGTGGGAGGAAGAAGAAAACATTTTTTTAAATTTCCTCTCTCATTTTTGTGGTTTTTTTATTTAGTTATTTAATAATTTTATTGGAAATTTAAAAATTACTATTTTGCCCTTTTTAAATTGATTAAAATAAGGCCAAATTCAATTTTTTTGGTCGACTAATAGACATATTGATAATTTCCATCCACATGTCCTTGAGTCCTTCTATTGCGCGAAAATGAAAAGTTTAGGACTGTGGTTGACACAAATAAAAGATTTGAATATAGTTTGCAAAAAGTGAAAAATTTAGGACTATGACTGAAATTATCCCTATTAATAATAAATGTTTAACATCTAACATCTAATTTAGAAGTAGGTTTATTGGGAAAATCACCCAAAAGTCAATATCTCAAATATACAATCCAAAAACAAAGGGGATTGGTTTTAAATTTAAAAATCAGGTACTAATTATGAATTATGAATTTAATATTGTATTAAATAAATATATATTTTTGTCCTTTTTGCGAAGGTTTGGGTGTTTCCCGCAACAGCGATAGGTGTGGTTGTTGGTGGCCGATAGGCGTTGCGCGTAGTTGTTGGTACACGAAGCAGGCAGCAACGATGGCACGGTGGTGGTATGTTGTGTGTACGAGGTTGTTTTTGTTGGTAGTGGTTGTTTTGCAGTTGAAAATAAGTTGTTGGGAAGGAGAAGGGGATGGATAGAAGGTGGGTAGAGGAAGCAACAGTAATCGGAGTAGGTGATGGCCAGCTAGTGCCAGATGTACACTACTTTCTTCATTAGACAGTGATGGAATCTAGAAGGAAGAGGTGGTTGATGGCCAGCGATGTGTAGTGGTCCCAGTGTTTAGTCATGTCTCTTTAATTTGAGGTGGATTTGAGTGGTTGTCAACGTAGGTGGTATCGATGGCGATGGAGTTTTTGTGTTAATTACGATCAATTGTGATCAAAGCTACCTTCATTGTGACTGTTTGTAACTAGATATACTTTAATTGTGATTATATGTGACCAAATTAACAGTGAGTCACATACAATCACAGTTTAGACTGACTTACTCACATGCAGTCGCATTTAAGAAAAATTTAGTCATTGTTAGTCACAGATAACACAAGTTTGATCACAAACAACACATCACTACTGTCACCACACAATACCCAAAACGTTGCAACCACCTCACTACCACCACCACACAAATCAGCTTCAATGTACTATCATTACCTATAACGCTTTCAGGTGTTAGGTGCAGGTGCAAATGGTGGTGGACGAGTTGGAGGTGGAGATTATATGTTAACTGTGACCAAATATGTGTTAATTGTGACCGATTGTAACTAAATATGTCTTCATTATGATTGCGTGTAATTAGATTTGAGAGGAAAACAAAGGGACAGCGAACATTGAAATGAGTAAATGCATCATTATATGATTAATGATGAAGATGTTCGAATTCTAAAATTACTCAATCACAATCAAATATCAGTGTGTGTAAAGCATGAGAAGAGGTCAAGACTGAGAGTCTGCCGACATGGTGAAAATGGCGAGATAAGGTTGAGAATGAGAGTATGCCACAACATCATCTCTCTCTCAAATATCCCCTGATTAATTTTGACAGAGAAGAGGGGTGCATGAACATAAAGAGATGATAAATATAGAGAGGGAGGGGAGGGAGAGAGAGGGGGGAGAGAGAGAGAGAGNATATGCGGCAGTAAGGAGCCACAATTGTATATTATATACTATATATTATTATATATTTATTAATTTGAATTATCATCTAATTTATGAAAGTATTTTGTAAGATTGTTAGTTGTGAAATGTTGTTCTTATTTGTGTATTATTATTATTATTATTATTATTATTATTATTATTATTATTATTTGTGAAGATTATTTCCAATTGTGACTTAATCAAGATGGGTTGTTGCCGATATCATGAGCTGCTATTGTGCACTGTTAGGGACCACACTTATTGTTGTAACTGAATTTATTCCTCACGTGATTGGCACCCTTGCTGGCTTGCTCTCCACTCAATTCCTTGTATATATGTA